TGGAGTAGAAGCTCTCTGACAGTGACGCTCTGGTACGGCCTGGTTCGGGAGTTGTAGCTCCGGGTTAGTTAACGTTTATATAAGTCAAGTACGCGTTATCTAATACAGTTGAGTGGAGTGTATCTCCAGGTTAATTATGTAAGATACTTGTGTGATCTTAGATTTATAGGGATTTGTAGGGGGACTACGGGTATTTAGTGGGTTTGGAAAGTGTTGGAACAAAAAGGGAGGAGTTGTGAATAACTGGTTGAAGTCTAGCAGGACTTTGAGTTGTGTGGAATTGCTTGTGGTCTGTTGAACACCGTAACGGTGGGCCGGACCGCTGAGGCAATCGCATAATCACTGGACTAAATTGCCTGACTGGTTGACTCTGCCCCGAGTTCCTGTGAGGTACACTTGAAGCTTACTTTCACTAAGATGACGGGTTGAGGCCCACATATTCTGTGCAAGGATATTTGAGGTCCACTAATTCTCTGTAAGGATAATTAAGGCCCACTTATTCTGTGTGAGGGTAATTACGGTCCACTCATTCTGTATAAGGGTAATTGAGGTCCACTAAATCCATGTAAGTGTAATTAAGGTTCACTAATTCTGTGTGAGGATAATTGAGATTCACTAAATCTGTGTAAGGGTAATTGAGGTCCACTAAATCTGTGTACGGGTAATTGAGGTCCACTAAATCTGTGTACGGGTAATTGAGGTCCTCTTGAAGTTTGCTCCCACTGAACTGAGCCGGGTTGAGGTTCACTATTTCTGTGTGAGGGTAATTAGACTAGCTATTCGTATAAGTGGAGAATACACGTTTATGATTAAGTGGTGCAGTTGACCACGTGAGGATTATTGCAAGCCAAGATCATTTTAAGGGGTGCAGTCGACCCTTGTTTAAGTCAGTGGGGATTATTACAACTGTGTATAAGTGTGTAAATTTATTGATTCTGTATGTAAAGATTATTGAATAGTTGATCAGAGAATAAGACCAATTATTGATTGTCCTTGGAAACATTTGTCTCTGTGATAATTATTTGGATCATTGTGCAGGTAATTATAATTAATTAGTGCTCTGTTTACATGCAAGTCAAACAATCGCAGAACGGTGGTATATTTCCACCAAACAAACAGCCCCTAGGCATAGTCCGCCGTTCGTTAATTGTCCCCCCTTGCGTCTGGGTAACCGCTCATCCTTGTGCGAGGTTAATAAATATTTTTGTGGGATAATAGGAGTTGGCTAGAATCCTGGGATAAATAAGACCAGTCCCCTGGGGTTTCTGCCAAAGTCCGTTCCGCCACAAATGGTGTCAGGATAGATTTTGCCACATTACCTACTTTCAACCCAATTGGACCTGTAGATATATTGGCCTCAAATATGCACTTTTAATGTGACGTCACGTGACTCATGATAACGTTATGATGACATCAATGTTTAAGTGTGTTTAAGTGTGTGCCAGGTATAAAGGCAATTGATTTTAGTGCCCAAAGTGCCAGTGTCATATGAACATCAGACTCTTTTGAAAATCGGACCCCTTTTCCCCATTGTTGGTTAATCCCTCTCATGTGACAGGTCACTCCCATAATGATCCTAAAAATAGCATATTTTCGCAATTACGCATGCGCAACACTGCCAATGAGCAGTGATGAAGGTTTCGAGGCAGGTCTCGGTATCGAGACCGGTCTCGAGACCGATTTTCTTAGGTCTCGACAATTTCAAGGTCTCGACTAAAAAAACTCAGTCTCGGTCTCGATCTCGGAGCAAAAGTCTTGAGATCTTGTGGGGTCTCGTGCAAACAAAAAAAACTCAGTCTCGGTCTCGATCTCGGAGCAAAAGTCTTGAGATCTTGTGGGGTCTCGTGCAAACGAGACCTTACTATTCAGTTGGGAAAAACCACCACAAAAAAAACACATAAATTTATAATCTGACCATATCTGACTTACTTTCGAAAGTTTTGCTAGACGGTGCTATCGATTCCGAGGAACGAAATCAAATAGTCTGGTACCGGGTACCCACATGTCACCGCATTTCTTGTAAATCAAAGTCACTTGCGGTACTTGGGTACAATGCACTGTACGCATACGCTATGATGCTCGCGTGCATACCGCATTGAATTGAGTTGATCGATCAATTTCAACCATGTCGACACACTCCGCAGCCCAAAGTTTGGTTTCAAAGACCACACTGAATTCCATGACCAGAAGGTAAACAATTTGAAGCACTCTGCAATCTGCAGATATTGCAAGATCACTCCTATGGACACATGCATTGTGAGTCTTGTTATTTCTTGGGTTAATATTGGTCAAGACCCCCATTGGTTTGTACACAGTATGCCGGGAGCTGAGGAAGACAATTTCTGCGGTATGTGACCTATTAAATAGTAGGAGGGTTAAGCTCACAGAGAGGCTGGCTGTTGATTTTACATTTATTTTTAAAGGTTGAATCTAGAAATCTTTGGTAGCTTGTAATCCGAATCTGGATGATGTCATCTTGACGGCGTTACCAGAAAGCTCGAGACCTATGGGATGAGGCAATCTTGTCAGTGTTTTCAACAAGCATGTCTAATCAAATTGAATTAAAACAGACACAAATTGATTGATATTATTTAAATAACTTTTTTACTAATGAATTATATCAACAGTTCATTAAATAATATTTAAAAAGTTTTAATGTTTTTTTTTACGGCAATTAGAATAGATGTATTAACTTCACTTTTTCACCCTTAATCATTTTCAGCCCCACTTTCATTTGCGACACAAAAACTGGACTCTCAAAAAGAGGAAAGTGGTTGGGGAAAACATAAAAGTCACCAAAAAAAACTACCCAACACTCTATGTGGGGGGACTGTTCAGCGTGCATGGAGTGCCATGAAAATGGGCATGGCCACGTGTTGTTGATGTCATACATGCACGTCGTGCAGTACTGTCTGTATCCCACAGATTCATGCCTGGCTATACACAAAAGAAACAGTTACCCAATAAATTCAAATTCATGCACCCGTGTGCATAAATCGGCAATAAGACAAAAAGCAAGCGCGGCCCATTTAAAAAGTATAGGGGTTCAAAAAGTTTTGTAATTTTCTCTCAATTTCTTAAAGATTTGTCCCATTTGTCTTTTGAAAAGTGCCTGAAATTGTCATAGGTAATACTTTTTGGGGTTTTTTTTTGGGGGGGGGGGGTACAAAATACAAATTTAAAAATTGACTTTGTCCTGTGCGCACAAGATACTTTCCACATGAGTGCCAAGAAATAACTGTGTGCTTCTGGGTAACACTCACCAAATTTCAGGCTGAATTGCGCCTGGGTTCACCGTGGCAATCGAATCACGTGCAGGCTATGCAGGCAACAATGATTTCACCATACAACAGACGGTCATGTTGACTGGAGATTGTGCATTACAAGCCCGGACTGCGGCAAAAAATGCAACATCAAGCACTTCTTTAAAGACGAAGGCAATATTTTTGATTCTCAATATTTTAATACATACTGAAGCCAGTTCGTGCCAGGTTTTAATATTGCTTCTCCTTTTTCCTACATGTTAACAAGTTGCAGTGTATGATGAGCATTGTTATCACATTTTATTTTTCAGTGATGTTCACATGAAATAAATGTATCTGAAATGAAATGAAAATGAAAAATGAAAGCAAAGAACACTGCAATAGTTATTAATAATGCAGTAATTTTGCAAAATAATGCAGTAAATTTGCAAAATAATGCAATAATTTTGCGAAGTAATGCAATAGTCTTTTGAAATAACACAAATTTTTTTTTTAAACCTCAGATTCGTATTTTGCAATACTATTGCGTTATTTTGCAATAGTGTCGCGTGTTATTTTGCATTATAACACCTCACCCACAGATTCTGTGTCTTGATTGGCCAAGAGTCAGATGGTACTTTCTATTTTTTGCTATCTTTCAGTGCACGGCCAAAAGTACTATACCCATAGCAACCAAAGTACTATAGCCGTAGCACCCATATACCCGTAGCAACCATAGTACTATACGCACTGTGTGCAAAATGAATAGGGGCGTGAGTGTTGAGCGTTGCACGTATTGTTTCCAAGCGTGAGCGCTACAGAGCTGGATTCAAACATTTCGTGAAGGGGTAGTTATAAAGTGCAAGTTAATTTTCAACTAATTTGGTATTCAAATAGAAGTAAATTTTTTATTGTATTCAAAAAATTAATCAGTTATCGCTTAAAATCAAGCAGAATCTGTGGGAGAGGTGTTATAAAACAAATATGGGCTGCCTCATCTCGTGGTGTAGGAAAACTAGCCTCCCTCATGTAGCATTCTATTTTCCCTCGGCTTCGCCTCAGGAAAAATAGAATGCTTCATGGATCACCGAGGGAGGCTAGTTTTACTACACCAATTGAAGCAGTCAATATTTGTATAATATTGTTTTCGCAATACCGTTAAGTATTGTTTTGTTTTTTCACAGTATTGCGTAAAAACAAAATACTTATTGTGAAAAAAATATGGGGATAATGTAAAATAACACAATGGTATTACAAAATAATGTGATAGCATTGAAAAATAACCATTTTGATCACGTTTGTACCTATAAACCAGAAAAAAAAGGTTTGCCAGACTTCTTTGTAGATTGACTGAACTGATTGGAATGCCATAAAATCTCTATTTTTACTAACCTAACACCCAGGAGTAAACCTTAAAGAAGCCCTTTATGATTTAGACACCAATCAAAGGTTGTTAATTATGCTAATGAAATACCGAAGTGTGTCGTCATTTAGAACCAGAAGGTGTAGCGCAAACGAATGGAGTACGCTCGCGTGTTGGTTCACGGGCTGAATCACACGCTGAATCACGCGCTGTCTTTCACACACATTTTGGTTGATTAGAAATCTAGACAATATAGTTGATTTTGACAAAACACAGCAAAACAAATATTCCTGGTGGAAAGTGAATAAACACAGAAATCCAATTAAGGATCGAAATTCATTTGTATAATCCCTTTTTACCAGGAACTGATTGGACCATATTTGTGTTAATTTCAGGGTATGAGTAAATTGAAGTACCTGGATATTAGCTGGAATGAGCTGACCAACATGAAGGATGATTTGTCAATTTTACGCAAACATGCAACAGGTCTGACTTGCCTTGACTTGAGACATAACAACTGGCAGAAGGTATGTATCACAGCTGAATGAGACTTTTGAGTTTGTGTCAATTTTACAGCTCTAACCAAGTGAATAGTTGGTTACACATTGCCATGATGCCACTGCAAAATTATATGCAGTGAATACATCTATACAGTAATATTTGAGCCTGCAGTTTAGCCTGCGAAAACATTTGCCTGCTGTTTCCCAGATGTTGCCTCCTTGAATGTCATTTCTTCTTGATTATAAAGAACTTTGTTTTTTTTTCCATACTAAGCTGCCATCAGGTCCACACCTGCAATTTGTTTGCACCATGACAGAATTGTTGTCATCAAGCACAAAAGTCCTGAAATCTGATGTTTGTCAAATATATTTCCGACTCAGTCAAAATTGTGCAAGCGCATCTTTGATTTTCCATGACGAGGAGGAAACAACCTGAAGTAATAGAAATGGCATGTATGCACTATTTGTGCATAACATGTAAATACCCACCTCGGCTCACAATCATCACAACCCTCTAGCCGACTTACCAAGGCCGATCGTCTGTCGCCATTTATTTATTCATTTCATTAGTGTGAGCACAAAATGTTAAAATTTTCTATTTTAATTAATGCCAATTAAACAAGTTTTCAAAATTAAACAATATTCTAATTTTGACCCGAAAAGTCACGATCTGAATAGCAGTTCCCACCCCCCCCCCCCCAAAGCGAACATTTTTGTGGGCCTATAATACTACATGTACATTCCTAACCCTATGGCCAACCCATAGACCATGATAAGGCCCGGGTTTAACATCCTATTTTTTTTGGGTGTACGAAATATTTCAAACATAATATTTGTTTAGCTCCAAGATTTCTGAGTTACTATATTCAGATTAGAATATTAATCAGAAGCGGGAACAAATCATTCTTAAATGCTTCCAACGATCATCAAGTTTCAGCATCGCGACACAACTCGCAATTTCTCCCTGGCGCTTGCGGTGCACATGTGGCCATCGCCATGATTGGGTCGCTGGTTTCCTCTTCTTAACTCAGCTGGAGGTGCATTCGCTCGGACGCTCGTCCCGGCCCCACTGGTGCCCATCGGCCGCAATGGTAACTAAACATAGTACCCACACAAGATGAGTTGTCATCCAGAAATGGTGCGTCAAAAATTCGTTATAAATAGCATCAAAATGCGTGAATGGTTCGTCATGAACAAGACGCAGAGGTGCGTCATTGGACCCCAAAGTTTGACTGTACTGTGTACATTGACGCACATGCCCAGGGGGTCTGAGGGTGCGTCTTACAATTGACGGGTGCATAACCGCCTTACAGAACTAGGTGTCACGCTGAACTATGACAAATGCCACTTCAGTTTGTCAAACCTCTGCTTCCTGGGCCATATTATTTTGTCCGAAGGTCTTACTCCAGATCCAACACACTAAGAGGCACTACTAAATGCTCCAAAACCTACCGATCCATCTACTCTCCGATCCTTCATGGGACTTGCGTCGTACTACGCCAGATTTGTGCCAAATTATGCAACCATGGTTGAACCACTCCGCACACTCCTTTGCAAGGACACTCAGTTCATTTGGTCTGAGGATGTTCAATCGTGCTTCGAGTTACTCAAACAGCACATCTCCAATGCTACTACACTTGCGCTGTTTGACCCCGATCTTCCTACAGTCGTATCTACTGATGCTTCTGCTTATGGCATAGGAGTGGTACTCGCACAGATCAAGAACAATCACGAAGTTCCCATTGCGTTCACATGTCACTCTCTTACAACTACAGAACGCAAATATTTAGTCAGCATACGGGAAGCACTTGCATGCGTGTGGGCATGTGAGAAATGGTACAAGCACTTATGGGGCTGTTAGTCTACTCTTTGAACTGATCATCAAGCTCTAACTACATTGCTGTCCACACGTGGCACTGGCCACAAACCAATGCGGATTGCCAGGTGGGCTGCTCGTCTGCTGGATTTCAACTGCTGAATTTCAACTGCACTGTTGAATTTCGTGCTGGTGCACACAATAGACTGACGCTCTATCTAGACTGCCACTGCCTACTACAGTGCACACAACTGAACATACTGATGATGAAAAGATCGTCCAGTGGATTTCAGCACAACTTGTTGACGCTTCCGCTATCACAAAAACTGAACTCCAAAATGCTACAAGGAAGGATACAGTCCTTAAGTCCGTGTCAGAATACATCACATCCTGTTGGTCTGCTAAACAGCACATTACAACTGAACTACAACCCTACTTCAACGTCCAGGATGAACTTTCAGTTGCTGATGACTGTATTATGCAAGGTGACCGTTTTGTCATACCTACTGCTTTTCAGCCAAGCCTGATTACAATTGCGCACCAAGGACATCAGGAATTGTCTGCACCAAGCAACGACTTTGTGTATGCTATTGGTGGCCAGGTATGGCAAACAGATAGAACACCAAGTTCGTCACTGTGCAGCTTGTCAATTAAGTTAGTGACTGTGCAGCTTGTTAATTAAGTTAGTGATAAGACAGCATGCATTCGCACTCCACCATTGCAACCAGTACCTCTTCCAGCTCATCCATGGTAAAATCTTGCCATTGACATTTGGGGTCCCTTTGAGCATGGTCCACAAACCTACCGATTTACAATCGTCTTGATGGACTACTACCAGTGGCGTAGCCACTGGGGGGGCGTGGGGGGGGGGCGACCGCCCCCCCCCCCATGAAACCTTGTCGCCCCCCCAGTCGCCCCCCCCCCCCCCCCCACTGAGATTTTGAGTTTCTAAATAAAAGTATCATTGATCTACATGACGCCATGGGCGTCAATCCTGGGGGGGGGGGGGGGGGGACAGGGGGACATGTCCCCCCCCCCACCTTTTGAAGGGTGGGGGACACAATATCAAATGTCCCCCCCCCCAATTTTTTAACTCGTGTCTCATTGACGCCCCCCCATGAAATGTTCCAGCGCCCCCCAGCGCCCCCCCCCCCCCCCCCCCCCCCCCACTGAAAAATTCCTGGCTACGCCACTGACTACTACAGTAAGTGGCCGGAGGTCACGTTTGCCGCTGATGCCACTTAACATTCCGTCTGCTCCATGCTTGATTCGTCTCCACTGAGTTTGAGTCATATTTGAGCCAGCGAGGAATTAAGCACATCCGCACTTTACCATCCGCAGGCAAATGGACTTGTCGAGCAATTTAATTGCATTCTCAAACAAACTCTCCAAATCTCAACTCACGAACACCGACCTTGGAAAACTGCAACGCTTGAGTTACTGATAGCATACAGATCCACTGCTCATGCAATTACAGGTAAATCACCAGCAGAACTCTAGCACACTCGCCGAATGACAACTACTCTGAACATTTGACCTACATAGATCAGCCAAGAAGAACCAGCCGATATTCGTGATCGAGTTTGCAGTTCTCAGACAAAGTACAAGCAATACACAGACCAGAAGCGTGGTGCAGTACATCCGTGTTTCCAAACAGGAGACTATACGTGTTAAAAATCCAAGACGTGCATAAGGGTTCCAATCGCAATGGACCTCCACAATGCATCACACAGTCCAAGGGCCCATCCACTTAACAGCTTGAAGATGGTCGACCATGGAATGCAACACACCTTACCCATAACTCATAAACTGCCAAACCAAATGTCTACGACTCAAAGACAACCAGCTAAACCCAAACCACAGAACCGTCCTAAGAGACAAATTAGACAGCCTACTTGGGTTAAAGATTACCACATGTAAATTGTGAAGTTCAGTTCATTCCATGTGCCAGTTAAAACACACAAGTGTATGTGTTTAAGTAATTGAACTGTGATTTTCCTAATTTGAACTGTTGAACATTCCAAACATTCCAATGTCTGTGATTCCTCATGTTTATATTTTGAAAGAAATAATTGTTAAAGGAGAAGTTCTTTTTTGTTGTACAGACAAAACACTACAATATGGCGCTGAGAATGAACATCGGAAATATTGCTTTCGGCGCGGCCAGCTGGGGAGCGCGCCCACGCCGGGCAGACTCCAGCGAACTAGATCAAATTTTCCTGCACGTATTTTTCCGACGACTCGTTCCGTCTCTTTCGAGCATGTGCCCGAACACTTATCACTTGCTTTGTGCCAAAACTGTGCCAATGTTATGAAACATATTTTCAGCAACAAAAAACATTGAAAACCAACTGTTCGATCATGACTTTCGTTCAAAAAATTCATTACTTAAATTTTCATTCTATGGACAGATCCATTAATTTTGTAAAGGGGTGCGTCACCCTCTTTTGGGAGTTAACATCGTTTTTCAAATAAATTCTTCAGAAAAAAAATATTTTGTGAGTTTGTAACAATGAAGAACCTTTTCTGAATGAGGAAATGTTTCGGACTCCATAAAAAAAGTATTATTTGTAATTTTGAAAAGGTGGAATTACTGGTAAATTGTTTTTAAGGAAGCACACCCTTGACCGCAAATGGTGTGGGCTGTATACATGTTCGTAGGAATGGTATCAGCGTGCATTGCGTGCTAGTACTGTTAGAATAGTGTCTTCGTTCTTTCCTTGTGAGATCGCCAAATATTATATCATATTTTCTTGAAAAAAATCAAGAAATTTGAGATTTTTTTCTGGCTGAATTATTCATTGGTTGAAATAAATCACTTTGTGGTCAATAAACCATTTTTTTTTCAGGGAAAATCTTTGCATAAACAGGTCTACTTGAAACAAGGCCGGGCCATGATATACACAAAGAGATCCATTTAAAGTTAAATTTAAGTGTCTTTGCCAAAGACTGGAGTTGATTTTAAATATTTTGGAAAATATCAAAATCCAAGATTCGTGTGTTTGTTTTGTGATGAATTTAGTGTTGTAGATTTGGCATCAACAACACAGTCAAAACATCAGTTATTGACAAAAAGGTGAAAAAATGTGCAACAGGATTTTTGAGGGGCTGCCATCCAGTGGGGCGCCCTCTATATATTATATGGTATTTCAAATGTTTCATGGGCCCAATGAGCAGGGGTGATAATGATGTAGTGCCTTGAGCACCAGTCCTGGTGGATACGTGTGCTTTATAATTTTATGTAGTTCATTAAAGGGCCCGTGTAATGTAGTTTTTCAATGCAGTTCTTGTAGATGCACCTTTGCATCCTGTTTAACCTTATTTTCAAATTTCAGTTTGCCATTTTTAAGGGAATTTTCAGGGGTGGATCGGGGGGGGGGGGTGGGGAGCCCATGCCCCCTCCTTTTTTCTTCAGAAAAAAAAAAGTTTCACACGCTATTCTTAATTTCACCTGGACATGCTAAAAATCATGACGGAAAAAGCCTGTATTTCTGACGCACGTGTCATCAAAATGCACATTCATGACATCAAAGCCATGCCGCTGTACGATGTTCAGTACGGCATGCGGCAGTGCAGTGCCATCGCCATTCACTGGTTTCCATCGCGTTCCCAACAGAATGAAAGCTATGATGATGTAGGACTGAAACCAGTGACTACGGGCTACATAATTATATACATTGCGTGCGTTGAATTTGGATCATAGAAAATACCAAACGAACATCGACGGAGAAAGAGAATTTCTTCAACTGCATGCCCAGAACATGATCTCTCTTTTCTGTGTACGTATTTTCCATTAAAACAAATATTTATAACAAGATTGTTCTGCTCGTACGTGATACACCGTATCGTGTTTCTGCAAACTTTTCGGCCACAGCACATGGGTTCATTTCCGGGTCCCACACAATACACAGTGCGCCGTGTGCGCGACGCAATATACGGCCAGTGCTGTGGCTGGCGGCTGACAGTAACTAACATTGTCATTGTTTGAGCATAGTGGCGTGGACGACTTAAATTCTCCATTATTTTAAAGAATAACGCACCTTAAATATATTTTCATATATTATTAGGTAAAAGGCAAATTTTGATCAAAAAGTTTTGATGGACAGTCGTGGCGCGATAGAAATGTGATAGGAATAAGATTTTTTGGTTCTTCCGACTTATTTCTCAACTTGAAACTTACTTTTAATCCATATACTTTTCCAGTTTAGGAAGTTGATATGTGAAATGATTAATTGAATCCCCTCTGAATTTTGAGGAAAACAACTGCCGCAGAGACCCCAAGATTTGCTCTAAAATGCACCAGAAAGCTTCTAAAGTTCAAAAATTTTCAGGGCCCGCCTACAGGCCCCGAACCCCACGCCATGGCTTCGCGAGTTGGTGTGTCACAACAAAACTTCCCGCACAGGTTTCAACAATTTCACGCCCCCCCCCCCCTTTTGGAAAATCCTGGATCCCCCCTGATTTTTGGTCCCTTTTTTATTTTTATGCTAATGAGAATTTGCATTTTCAAGAGCAAATGTGTGATTTCATTTCATACAAAACCCCAGTGTTACAGCTAATTCAGCACAAAAATTTGCCAGAATTTTGGATATTTTGCTTACCTAAATTTTATTTTCTTTGTTGATTTTTTTTTTTTTTTCCCCCCAGAACATGACAGCAGGCCAATGAGCAAAGTTTTCTCGCAAATGTTTTCAATGAGCAAATTTTGGGTTCACAATTTTTACAGAAAAGCCCGAAACTGCACAGTTCTTCCTGAAATGACATCACAGCAACAGCGCCCTCATTTGTCAGGAAAAGCATGAACATTTTTTGAATGTTTAAAGATGGTCTGACATCACCATTTTCTCTGATTTTTCTCGTGACAATCCAAACTACTATAAGGTGAACAAATTGTTAGAAATGGAAAAATATTTGTTTCCTCAACCCATAGGAATATTCCTTCTATTGCATGCCCGTTGGTTTTCCATTCTTGTCATTTCAACTAAAAAATGGGTTCCATTTTGCACATTATTGGCCAGGAATATTTGTACTTTAAATTGTATAATGTGGAGTGCAATTACGGTGTATGAGGTGAACAAACAGTTGGACATGAAAAAATATTTTATTCTTCACCCCATAGTAATATTCCTTCTACTGTCTGCCGGTTTGCTTTCCAGTCTTGGCATTTCAACTCAAAGAGTTTCCCATTTTGAGTTGTGAAATAAAGAGTATACAACAGACACATCATATTTTGGCAATGTTTATTTAATATTAATTTCAATAAACAATAGATGCCACTACATGTACATGTGTATTTTCATATTAATCCAACTTTCTCACTTTTTTATATGCTCCCAGTTGTCTATTTAATATTACAAAGTGGCTTTTTTGTGCATCTCATAACAAGGTCACATAGCACACGCACACCTTTTTTGAAGAAAAAAAAACTAGGGGGGAAAAAAGTGTTGCCGCACCACTTTTGGGGACAGCTCCTTACTAGAAACCTGAGCCGTTTTTTGTTGGCCTAAGGCATGAAATTTGTTTAGTTTGTTTGTATAGTATGTATCACACTCACAGACAGATCAATTTACATGTGTAAGTTCTTCTTTTGATTTTTGTCAGCCTGATGGTGTTAGACTACGCACCATTGGACGCCTCAAGTCATTATCGCTGCTTGATGGTCAAGCAGTCACCGAGAGTGAAGCAACTGCAGCATTGAGAATGGCTGCTGGGTCTCGAGTTTCTCAGGTGTCTCTACTTGCTCACACAAGGACTGACTCTTGTAGGCCAAGAAGCCTCAGCCTTGCATCCTGTGCCCAGCTACTGACACAGATCAGCCGTCAGAAGCCTGATAGATTATGTGAAACAGATGGCAACTGGTACAGCAAGGTACGGGGATGGGGGGGGGGGGTTGGATTATTTGCATGTAAATGAATTGTGAACAAAGGAAGAGTGTCACATAACTGAAAATACAGAATTTTGAGGATCCATGTTTCAGAGCCATAGAGCCTAATTGGCTCAACCAATATCTAGAAAACTTTATCTTTCTTTGATCAGGGAGTTTTGATTTCCATATTTTGGGTAGCTTGTTGATGGCCTGCCCTGCTTGGCCTTTTCTCACATGAATGTCGTGTTTGGTGGTTGCTATCCAAGCTCCCAGGTATTTGAAATCATTGACTGGTTGGAGTGTGTTACCATTCACGATGTTAAGTGCTGCAACAGATGTTTTGATTGAAGCTAAAATATATTGTGTCTTCTTGGCATTGATTTTCAAGTGCTAGTAGAAGCTCTTGTGCTTGCTCAATCGTATCTGATAGAAGTGCCAGGTCATCAGCAAAACCCAGGTCAGTAATTCTCCGGCATTGCCTTGGTTTGATTGTAAAGCCAAGTTCTTTGGTCTGAAATCCAAGTTTGTGAATCATTAGGGATGGCTTGACGAAAGCAGTAGTCTTGTACTTAGCCCGACTGCGTCTGGCCGTACAGTACTATCGCAAGCTCTGTAGTACGGCCAGACGCCCGATGCTTCCACAGAGACTGAATTTTGTTGGCCGCCGATGTAGCGATTTTGCTACATCTTTCGATCGCGATTATCTTTTCATCCAGGACACAAATTTCCAAAGTTAAGGATCGTAGTCGTAGAGCAACTCATACCTTTTCGAAAAAACGTTCTTTGGTCTCAATATTTTCATCCATCTGGCCACAAGACGAATTTCAGTCATCAGATTCCACAAATATCGTCCCCCATGCGATCCCCCATGCGATTTCAAAATGGCGGCCGCGCTGTAATGTATGCAATATGCAGACCAAAGAACGTTTTTTCGAAAAGGTATGAGTTGCTCTACGACTACGAACCTTAACTTTGGAAATTTGTGTCCTGGATGAAAAGATAATCGCGATCGAAAGATGTAGCAAAATCGCTACATCGGCGGCCAACAAAATTCAGTCTCTGTGGAAGCATCGGGCGTCTGGCCGTACTACAGAGCTTGCGATAGTACTGTACGGCCAGACGCAGTCGGGCTATCTTGTACTATAATGAGAAGAATACCACTCACTTAAAATACTGGGCCTGATCATCCAGTCAGATCTCAAATGGAACGAATGGGTGACAGACATTACTTCAACAGCTAGCTGGCAAATGTACATGTACATGCTCCGACTTTTAGAACATTTTGCATTGCCTTAGAAGGACCTGCTCACCATCTACATGGGGTACATCAGACCAATACTGGAATACGCAGTCCCGGTATGGTAACCTGGACTGACCCAGCAACAGAGTGATACCCTGGAACAAATCCAGAAAAGAGCCTGCAGAGTCATCCTTGGTTCCAAGTACAAGGGATATGAACAATCATTAACTGATCTCAGTCTCTGCACTCTTGCTAAGAGGAGAGAGGACATCTGTTACAAATATGTCTGTAACCTACTTAAAGATGACAAGTTTAGTAATTAGCTACCTGAGCACAGATACAAATCACATAATTACCAACTACGTAACAGAAGCCACCTCTCTATCCCTAATTGCAGAACAAAGCGGTACAAAAACAACCCTGTACCCTACCTTGTTAGGACATAGAACTCCAAAAACAATTTGTAAAGTGCCTCGTCATAATTAATCACTTTTTTTTTAGTGACATTCACATCTAACGTTTTATAGGAATACAAATCCTTTTTAATCCTGGGAATTTGTGTTATCCCTCCTTGCCCACCCTCTCCTCCCTTAACCTCCCACATAGCATTTTTGTCCTATTGTGAGTTTGATGTTTTAAGACAATAATGCATTCTTTAGTCTTTTTTGTTTTAGTCCATTTTTTAAGCCTAGAAACTTCTTACCCAAAAACCTTTAAATATCATTCCTACTCATCTTTTTTTTTATGTAATGTAATGTACATCTTTTTATCTGTGGTCTTGAAATGATTGAATTGAATTCCATGTCTGTGCATGTATATTCCAATAGTTGGTCTTGAAATGATGCAGTTCTATGTGTGTTCATATTCCTTGTCTTACCCCTCCCCTTTCATCCTCTCCCCTTCCAGGTTCACCTTCCACATACCCTGTCCATTTTATGTTTTTTTTAATACGATTTTAGTCTTTTGCTGCCATTGTAAAGTAAAGTTTATGCTTTTTAATGTTAATACATTGTAAATGTTCTTTGCAATTCCGCTGCTGGCGGCAAAAAAAGACATAATAATAAACCAATTAAAACAGAAAAAAAGAAAGAAATGGAGCGAGAGTATCCCCTGCAATACTCTAGCTTGGATTTCAAACTTTGGCAAATATGGATTCGTACATGCATTCTATAGCTGCAACTATCTTAGGTGAAATTCCATTACAAAAAAAGAAAGAATATTGCAGTGTTTAATGACTGCAGTGGGTATTCCGTCCTCCCCACAGCTTTTGCCATTTTTGAGTTGGTTGATTGCCTTCTGAAGTTCTTCCATATCAAAGGGATCTGTAGAAATTGGTAGTTCTTCACATACTTGCTGTATGTTGTTATCTTCCTTAGATACTGTGGGAGAGTTGCCATGAAGGTCTTTAAAGTATCATACCACTTTGTCAAGCCTTTCTTGTTGAGTTCTGCCTTTCACTTGTCCCTCTCTAACTCCTTTCCTTCCAGTTAGATTGCTCATAACTTTCTAGGATGAATACATATTTCCTACATTACTTTCTCCTTTGATTTCATCAATTCTTTTCTCAATAAAGTCTTGATTAGCTAGTAGGTATGCCTTGTTCATTTCCTCTTTTGCCTTATTCAGTGATTCTCTTGTTTGCGGTCTGCTGTCTGGAGTTCTTTTCGTGCAGCATCTTTACTCGCTAATAGTGTCCTGTCTTTCCTCCTTTTTTGTAAAAGCTTAGTGGCTGTATCCCTAATTAACCTGTCACAGTGGAATCCAATTCAAAACCTTCTCTTGTTCCTTCTTCATCCGTTTTCAGTGGAGACCACCATCTTTAGACCTAGTCTTATTGTGTTTTCCCACACATCAACCATTTTTTTATGAATATTTGTCTTGTAAACCCAAACTTTATGAACAACCTTTGTTTAAGAATAAGTAGTCGATACACAAACTTCTTGAGCTCAGAATTGCGTTAATCATGACTTTATTCCACAACGATTTTGAATACACACTGAGTTAGCTGAACTTGTTAAAGTTAAATGTTAGTGAACTGGTGAAATGGAATAAACTAATTACATTGTCGCTACTGCTTAGAAATTGCTGAGAAACTGCTCATGGTGCAGTGCTCATATAATGTGGAAACATGATTAGTTTAAATAAGAAATACTTAACAAAGGGCAAATTTAGTCGCACATCTTGGTTTCCTTCGTTTCCTTGTTGAGTCATTTTAAGGAAGCAGCTCCTGTCAAGTCGAGTCGTTGGGTCAAGTTGAGTTGAGTTACAGTGTGCTACTCAACTCAATTGGACCTACTTGTGACACAGTGTGTCCCACTTTCTTTGAGTTAGGAGAACTACATGTATAAATCCCAGAATGTTAAGCTCGTCTACCTCTTCATGTTTCACACCATCAAAAATGTGGTTGGAATGTTGAGTTGATTTCACCTTGCCTATGATTATTACCTGACACTTTTCCAAAGCAAAAAGTATCTGCCATTTTGATCCATAATGGTAGATTTTGGAGAGATCAGCATTCAGAGAGGCAGCAGACTGAGGAGCTTCTCCATCCTCAATGATGCGGTACAAGTACAATAGTGCTGTCATCTGCATAAAGAATAAATGTTATTCTTAAGGCCATCACACATATCACCGATGTATGCACCAAAAACAATGTTTGACTACGAATGGAGCCCTTGGGTGCTGAAGGAAGGAAAGACATAAGGCATCTTTCATATTCATGACTACAAAACAGTAAAAACTTTGAAGGTCTTTTTCTCAGTATTTTACTTTTTTTGACATGTCGATAAATGCGAACTTTAAATATCCATAACTTGTCAACAAAATGTCCCATTAAAGTGCAACAAACAGCATCTTAAACAGAATTTTAATATCTTTCCCGATACCCACAAACTCTCATTTTGACCTCTGCCTAGGTGTGTCTCATTTTGCAGAACACATCACATATTACTCAGGAAATTGATGGGTCGGTATTTGCTTGGGTCATTTCGTGCATTTTTCTTATGAACAAGTTCTATGTTAGCTGTTTTCCTAGTACATGGAAAATATCCTAGGTAGTAACAATAACAGAAGTCATGCCCATTGCCGGGGGGGGGGGGGGGGGCCTGGTGGGGGGGCCCCTTAACGAGCAATTGGCCCCCAAACGGCAAAAGCCATACATATGTATTTTTGTATTTTGATTGTAGTCGGCCCCCCAAATTGGTACTGTGCCCCCCCCCCCTCCCCGATGCTCTGGGCTGGCGACAGGCCTGAAAAAAAGTGCTTTGCTAGAGGCGTAGTCAATGCAAAGGCACATTCTCATAGTACCGGGTTTCCAATTCCATCTGGTTCTGTGCTTTTGTCGATATCTAGCTTTTAAAGCTTCTCTTGTATATACCCCGTGGATGGAACTTCACCATGGCACATTAGTATTGAGTCTGTTGGAGACTCAACTGATGGAAGTGTGATATCAGCACTATCAAGTGTACACCCTTGTCGCTTGAAGTGGAATAATGCTGGTTATCGTAAAGTAGGGTTGGGATGCTTGAACGGCCTCCATTGGCTTGTAATCTTTTCACAGTCCACCACCAATCTCTAGGTTTGGTTGTGTTTGATTTTAGTTTGTCCGTAGTGAATTTGAAGTATTGGTTCTTAGTTTCCTTCTCAATTCGCTGATATGCTTTTCTCACTTTAGTCAAAGCATTGACTCCATACATCATAGGCTTTTCTGACTGGCTTGTTAGCCATACAACAGGCTTAAGTACGCCAAGGACGAATGGTTGC